GAATATTTATTGGAACAGGAAGAGGAGGAGGAGGAGGAGGAGGAGTAGACGAGTATTATGACACTATTAGGGAACTGATATGATAGAACCAGATAGCAATGATAGCATTTCGCAAGCATTTGAATTATGGGGAACTGTAAGAACTGAAGAGCCGCAGGTCATTCAAATAACAGTGCTATTTATCCATCTTCAAAAGATTCCTATAAGTTCAAGAATCACTTTCCTGTCCCATTAAAAGTTACACAACTTGCCTTATCCTCAAACAATAGTTGACCTACCAAAAAGACTCGGCTGTTATTATAATACCAAAAGTGGACTAAACCGAGGAGAAACCGATCGGGGCCCCTCCTGAGGATAATCGCACAGTCAAAACATTAAAGGTAAACAAATGGACGAGGCGAGGATTATCATCAGATGATGATCAGAAATACATAGAGAGACAACACAAACAATTGGACAGTACATTCGAATGACACTGGGGAAAGCAGTAATTATATCGAGAACTATGAAGATGAAGATGAAGAAGACCACACCTTGATATAGTTATCGCGAAAATAAGAAGTAATGGAATTTTTTCCATAGAAAAAAATAGGAAAAATTGGAATAGTAAGAGAACATTTTATGACAGGCAGGCAGGGAAAAGGAGTTGTAAACGGTTGTATATGTACAATTTATTGTATAGGCGGAAAGAAACACGCCGTCTAATATTTGCTTGTGGTTCGTTTGAATTTTGAATTTGAATTTTATTGGAAAATATTGTATGTGTGGGTTTTCAGATTTCGAAAATGTACCGCAGACGCTCTAATGAAATGGCTACCAACTTTGAGCCCATGTATCCCGTTTTCTGTGAAATATATAAAAAAATGGTCAACCAATAAAATGTTTATTATAGAATTACAAATATTTTGTCAATTGGCCAATTTTTGATACCTTTTACAAGAACCGAGATACATTACCGAGATAAATTACGAGATACTCAAAATTAAGATGGTCGTTCTATTAGAGTGTTTACGGTATTACAACATTTTTGCAACAGGAATAAGGAATCATGAATCTCCTTTTGAAATTAAGAAAAAAAACTTCGTTCGCTCACAATTGTCATTTAGGATTCAGTAAAATACTATCTAACCAGTATGTTCCAAAAATTGCCCTAATTCCTTCCAAAAACCATCACCAAGGACTCTTTCATCTTATCCATGTCCTTTAACCGTGCCACTCAGTTTTTCGCGGTTTTCGGCGATCTGTCATGTTACGCGATGTAATCAAAACAAATGGGTGTGTGTGCAGTATCTTTCTGTCATCTCCTCCGAAAAGTTGATCATTATCTTCAAGTCCGAGTAAAACACTAAAAAGTTATGAAGACATCAATAAAAATCCAAGGGAGGGTACAAACAAGCGCCGACCTATAAAACGGTAGAAAACGAAATAAATGGGGAAAATGAAAAAGGGGAGAGAAATGATAAGTACCGAATGGGGCAAAA